TTTGTCTAACATGATTTGAACTTGTTTAATATCTATTTATGTATTTTTGAAAATATTTTTAAATAATATGATTACTTTATATTAATAGGGACATAGAAAGTCTGAACGAAAAATCAAGAATACCACGAACAAATTAAATGGTCAAGCAGTGAATTATAAATCATCTGATTTATTGTTAGAAAGTAATCTCCTGAAAAGGTGCAATATAAACATTTTCTAATGTTTATATGTTTATAATGTTTATATGTTTGTTTATTTATTAAAATAAATTATATTATAAAATATATTATATTATAAAATAATATAATTTTAATATAACTACCCAATAAACACAAAGTAACAATAATATAACTGTTTTGTTATAATTTCTTACTCAAAAATATAACTGTTATGTACAAGGCATGTTATATTACAGTTATATTATTGAGTGAAAAATTATAATATAACAATTATATTATTGTTACTTTGTGTTTACTGGGTATTGATCGCCATGTTGCATGTTTTATTCTTTTGTGCAGCAATTTCAAGTCAATCAGTTTGCGCCCCTCGTATCTAGAGGCCCTCTATACTTTTGTATTGTGTCATAGCCCTGATCGACAAAGGACATATTGCATTTTGTTCATAGAGAACTCGATTGCACAAGGCAAACTTAATTATGAAACTATTTTATTAATGAATTTGTATCACATATAAGGCTCGTAAGTTACATTGTAAGATAATTGATATTTTTTAAATATTTATTGTTCTTTTTTTTTATTAAAGGTATTTGACAGGGGGAGGGGGGCGCAATATGTTGCGAGTTCAACATTTTGCGCTCCCTTCCCCGGCCAAATGCCTTGCCCTAGCATGGGCATAACGTAGGTTACATATAAGTTTATTTAAAATAACATTGCTTTCTTATAATTGGGTGCGATCCACTAGACGCTTCAAATGCTTCAGAGCATCATTTTGTCCTTGTTTAACATTTGATAAACAACAAGGATGAAATGTTTCCAAGAATTAAGCGTTTGGAGTACCAAAAGTGGCTCGCACTCAATATCTATAATATCAGCCTCTGATAATATCTAGCGATACTTGGTCCGAAAATAACTTTCTTATAGCCTAATGAGTGTAATTGTATTCATTTCTTCAAAAATGCACTTATTAAATACATAATTTTCTTCAATGAAGATAATTCAATTCGAAATTGAATTCTCCATTCCGATCGACAGGCGTAGAGTCCCTAGACTATCTATAGACAGGCGGCGTTTATGGCGTCTCGTTAGTTTGCGTTAAAAAATCAAAGTTTCGTGCATGTGGATGATCCAGTTTTTCGTATTTGTTATTTAAAACAACATTTCTTCATGCACAGCTCGGCTCTACGAATTTTCAGACGGTGCGTACGATTAATTTGTTATCGCTCGACACGTGTCATGTTTCACGCGAATTCTTAGGTTAACGTAGCATAACCTAACCTTCAAATCTACTTGACATTTGACTTTCGTTATATAAAAAGGGTTTGACACTTTACATAAACAATGTATGTTGTGTGCGAGTAATAACGCGAAATAAGTATATAATAATGATAATAAGACATAATTGTAATGAACATAAATTAGCATGAACAAAATATTATTTCTCTTTTAGCGTTTATATATAAATATGTAAAAGATTTAGTATATTAATTTGTTAATAATTTTTAATATTAATATCTTAATTAATATAATATTAATTTTAATATAATTTTATAATACTTTGCACAAATAACATTTTTGTGTATTGTAAATAACAGTAAAAACAATGTATTGTAACATACGGAAATTTGACGTCATAATTTTGCAATATAGTAATTGCGTATAATAATTTATTACATATTTTATTGCCGATTTATTTATTTAGTCATATGTATCTCAGGTTTCACGAACCAAAATTGCTAGGCACTGCGGCTGAGATAAGGACTTCTATAGATTCACTGTTTATCAGACACAAAGTACAAACAGCAATGTTGGATGACGAAAAGTTAAGAGATTTGGATATTCCGGCGCAAGAAGAAGTTAATCCCCTATCATGGTTGCACACTGTGGCTCCTGCTTTTCCAGTGAATGGCTCAAAAGTAAGATAATTACGCACTCTTAATTATGGACATATTTTGTTTTAATAAAAATGATTTTCCCAATCCAGATCACTATAATCCACAAGCCACGGGTGTTTTATAGCACTTTGTTAGAAAAATGCAGACGTGCCAAGAAGAGAATCACGTTTGCCTCTCTGTACTTGGGTACTGGCACCTTAGAGACTGAGCTGGTAGGTATAATAGAAATTGTAGCATTTATAATAGAAAACCTGGCAAAATAATTATTTCGAATAACAAATTAGCAATAATTAACTGCAAAAGTTACAAGAAAAAGATATGAAGAGAGGATTGAGATTGAGAAATAAAATGTAGTTAATTTTCCAATTTTCAAAATCGATTTTTTTGAGAAACGAAGTTATGTTTCTTTCCACAGGTAAACGTGATAGAACAAGCAATGAGCACGAATGGCGGCAATGTGCAAGTGCGGATCCTGCTGGACTATATGAGAGCTTCCCGGGGCAAGCAGAATTCCCGAAAGATGCTGCAGCCGTTGCTTAAAGGCAAATGTAGAGATCATTGCAAGATCTTCCTCTATCACACGCCGAAATTACGCGGCGTGATGAAAGCAGCAATTCCGGATCGCTTTAATGAGCTCATCGGTTTGCAACATATGAAGCTATATATGATCGACAATGACTTGATCATTAGCGGGTAAGCTCATAACTACGATTGCTATATAATTAATTAAGAAAAAAATGTCAGAATTTATATTAAAATTAACAGCCGATATATATGAAAGGAAGAAAGGTTAATTAAAAATATTTAATAATAAAGCCATTTGAATAGCTCTGTGCTAAATATGAGATATATAGTATATAATAATAAAAAATAAGACCATTTTGATATACAATCAATCAATATCGAATAAGCCATTTACAGTTTGATATTTATAAAAATATATTAAACAATCATTTTATGTTAGAGCGAACCTCAGCAATGATTACTTCATAAACCGACAGGATCGGTACTTCGTTATAGAAGATTGCGAGGAACTTTGCGATTTCTATAATAAATTGATTGAGAAAGTGATGGAATTTAGCTTCTTATTACAACCAGATGGCAATACGAGCTTAAATCCTGCTGTGAATTGCCATCCTTATAAAGGATCTGGGAAAGTCTTTACCCAAGAAGCAGCATCCAAGATACAAACATTCTTACAGAATGAAATAAAAAAGAATGCTGATCTCGACAAAAGTATACCGATAACTATTCTATATAAATTTTATTCAAAGCAAGAATATTCAAAACTGTTTCACCACCTAGATTGTTACTTCAAACTCACAAATTATATTATTTAATCTTTAATTATTACAGATGCAGACACGTGGATATTTCCGTTAGTACAAATGGGTCAACTGAATATTTATCACGATAGCGAAGTAACATTGAAACTCTTACAAACTGCTCCAGCGGGAGCCACACTCAAACTCGGAACCGGTTATTTCAATCTGACTTTTGACTACAGTCAAGCTGTGCTTAGAGATTGTCGAGCAACGTGTCACTTCTTGACAGCACATCCCACTACCAATGGCTTCTTTAGTACGTCTTTCTTGTTCCAAACGTTTGGATTGCACAAACTAAAATTTATATAAGATCATTTATTGCGTCTCATTTTTTGCATGATTATATTTTTCTTATAAAAAATCTGGATAAATAATTCTAGAAACTAATAACTATTTATTACTAAAATTATCTTGCTTTTAAGATGCCAAAGGAATTGCCGGAGAAATACCAACAGCGTATACCAGAATAGAAGAATCCTTTTACAATTTATGTGAGAGAATGAATCAGCAAAAGAGGGTAACATTATGGGAATTTGCTAAACCAGGTTGGACATATCATGCCAAAGGTCTCTGGTACACTTTGCCAAATCAGCAAAAGCCTTCGTTGACTCTCATAGGCTCGCCAAACTTTGGTAAAGATAAATTCTTATTATCTTGGATTCTAATCTTAGACAATGAGATTGCAATAATCTCTCAAGGATTTTTAGCACGACTAAATTAAAATATGGATGATTTAGGTTATAGATCGGTGAACAGGGATCTCGAAACACAAATAGCTGTAGTGACAAGAAATAAAAAGTTACAAAATGCATTGCACGAGGAGCAGGCACGATTGTTTTCCTGTGCTAAACCTGTTACGAGGAAGACTTTCTCGCAACAAGATAGAATACCATCGGCTTGGGTATGCGCGGTTGTACTCTTCTTTCGCTATTATTTTTGAAACCGAAACATGAAAAGGCAAATCTCATATTCTAAACTTATTTAATTTTAACTGTAACATATTGTACAGTAAGTACAGGATAATTGATCCACAAATATAAAACCGTTCCCAATGAATTTTTACCCTCATGTTAGACATTTTTTTCATTGTATAGGATTTCTTGTTATTTTTACTTTTTAGATTAAAACAATTTTTTTAATAAAAACTTCATGTCATTTTTCTATGCAAAGAATAAAATTGTTGGGCTATATGAGATATAAAGAGGATTAGATCTGGATCTTGGGATTCTGGATTCTAGAATTTTATATATATATATATATAAATTCTGAGAGTAATAGAAACTAATCTTCATTTTGTAAGTGATAAATTAGGCTGCATCCCCATGGAGAAAGAAATAATGGAACGGAATTATATAAAACAGAATCACTTTGATTGGCTAATCTTCAGGTAGAGGCTCTCTAGATGGGATACTAGCCAATCAGAGTAATTCCGTTTCAATTCCGTTCCGCTATTTCTTTTTCCATGGGGATGCAGCCTTGGCATTTTATTCTGTAAGTTTGCCGGCAGAAGTTGTAAAATCAGTGACGTAATTGTTTAGGCTATCCTGTAAGGTATGTGATAAAATTTAATATTGCTACGATGTCGACGTTTCTTACGCAGTATCGAATATGTAAAAATTGTTTTGATCCGGGTAAAGTAGTAATGACAGCAATAGCGATAGTAATAATAATAGTAGTAGTAACAGTAATACAAGATTGATTGTCTGTTACCACTCATAGTTGAGATAATTGCATTCAATTGCTGCAACGACAAATATCGCGACACTTTACAGATGGGAACAGACCGCTATTTCACACTTAAGAGATTTCCAAGATTTGGCAACCGGCGCGGCGATTAACAATTGCCCGAGGAAGAGAGTTTATTTGTCGTCGATCACGAACGTTTCCTCTTTGACAAAAAATTCAACAACTTCTTCCTCCACATTCTTCGAATCTGAGTCCAATTCGTCAGTATCAATATCTGAAAGTGCACGCATATAACAATTAATCTCTCAATTCATATAAAAAATATTGCTTATTTTCAATATTAATAATACAGCCGAAAAACTTCCTAGTTCAATGTGTTCATAAATTAGGAAAGTGTATGGATGGCACATACACTTTCAATACTATAGACAACTTGAGATATATATATATCTATATAGTACCAGATAGTACTTACTGCAACGTAACTCTAGACGACGCTTCTTCTGATTGTTCCACTCTTCGATACGTTTCGTACGATACTCTTCGAATGCCTTCATCAGCAAGCAACGTTTCTCGATTAATTCCTAGAAAATTAATCACTCGTTAAAGTAAGTCACAATCACAGACCCTTTTAGAAGAAACATTTTGTACTCTCATATATTATTTTTTGCCACTTCATAACCTTTACATACAAAAATTGAAGTTTGTAATATACTGGAATACTTGAAAAACATTGCTAGAAAAATATTTTAATATCAAATATTTAATACATCTTATTAAATGAAAATGCACCTTTGAAGCACGCGTCAGCCGCATGCGATCTTTGCTCTCGAACTGCGCCGAGTACTTCTTCAAATTCTTCTTTATCTCCTTAATCTGCTCCGCGGTGAGCAGAGTCGGAGGCCGCGGCCGCCACAACAGCTGGTTGAACGCGTTCAAGTTGACTCTCTTTAGAATACGGCCCTGGAACGTCCATATCCAATAACCATTATCAACGCTGGTCTTCCAGCTAGACACTGCCGTGACGACATATCTAAAATTAATCGAAACGAAGAGAAAGTTAACTTCTTGTTATTGCTTCTATGCTTAGCTCTTCGTATTATACGACTGCTTCAATCTTTTGAATCTACCTGCCAGTCGGGTCCCATTCCACGTCCGAGGTTTGATAATGATCAGTGGAATTCATAATGGTGAAATCATTCGTGTCGATGAATTCCAGAGCACCAGCCATTGTTGTCAGGCCAGCGAGGACGATAAATTGACCCGACGGCGACCAAAACAGATGATTACAAGCCTTCTTCTCCAATCTTTCTGTTGAAAAAATGCAGTTTACGAACGTTAAACTTGAATCAACGAAACAAAAACTCGCGAGTTATTAATTTAATCACGTAAAAAAAATTTAAATGTAAAGTTTCCATTATATGTAATTACTTACTGAGAAGGGCAGGTTGATGGCCATATCGCACTTCGTAGAAGCTGACATTTACGGTGGGTATTTCTCCGTGAATAATGGCGAATTTGCTGCCAACTGGCTCCCACGCGAAAGCGTGAATCGGTTCCTTTATCTCCACACTATCCACAGGAATTTGTTTCTCCCTCATGTGGAAGATTTCAAAGTTGTATGACATACCCTGTAATATAAAATATGAATAATTTTTAATAGCAATTATATTTTAATAATAACGACTACTGAAAGCTCTTTTGTTTTTGAAAATCTAAAAATCAAAATTTGCCAAATAATACTAAAATTATTCAATAAAAGTTATTCGCCAGTGATGAAATAATTCGGTATAGTTAAACGGCCTGACTGGCAAGTTTTATTAAACATAACACAACGACGTTTCGACCACTATTTTGGGTCCTTTTCAAATTATTTTAGCAATGATGGATCATTGTGCGTCAAACATATAAAATTCGTAGCGGGACAACTTTAGTTGTCCGACCTTCACATGAGACCGTCGTGTTTTTCCGACCCGCCACGAATTTTATATGTTTGACGCACAATGATCCATCATTGCTAAAATAACTTGAAAAGGACCCAAAATAGTAGTCGAAACGTCGTTGTGTTATGTTTAATAAAACTTGCCAGTCAGGCCGTTTAACTATACCGAAATACTAAAATTGTACATAATTCTAAATATAATTATAGTTATATATAATTTGTACATACTGAATAAATAACTGTTATGCTTTATGCGAAAAATCGGCTACATTAGTCAACTCACTGTGTATTTTTGTTCTGTCTTCTCCTTGCGTTTGGCAAAGCGATCAACTTTCACGCATAGGTAGTCACCAGATTTTTGCCAAAAGATCTTGCAGTCAGCCACGTTAAACAAATTCTTATTTCTTATTTCATTGCGGCTGAAAGTAAAGTATTATTTTGGTTAAAAATTTCCTTTTATGCCAACAATGTGGATATGATTCAAGGCTAAAGACTTACTTAGGAATTTCGAGCAAAGTTACTCTCGCGGGGACGTCTTTATCTTCTGGCACCCAATAAGCAAGAACGTTATCCGTCGGAGACCAACTGAAATCTCTGATTCCTGGAATCTTGATGCTCTTCTTGTCCAGCAGACCGAACGACTAAGAAATTAAATGTGATGATAGTGACTTGTTACAGATTTAACATAACAGGCAATAATAATGAATAATTAATGTTAAGTATCGTAAATCAAGGAGAATAAATGTGACTATGAGAAATACTCACCGGAGTTTCATAGACACTGAGAACGTCCTCTGTGCCCATGCGCGCTAAATATTTATCGTCATGCGACCAACGGAAGATTGGCCAGACAGAAGATCCATCGGGGAAGAACGATCGCTTTTCCTGACCTGACAGAATGTCCCAAATCACGAGGCGCTTTTGATCCTGTCCGAGATCAGTACGTGGAGTATAGGTGACTAGGTAACGCTCACAAGGCGAGAAATCGATACACTCAACACCTCGCTGGCTGAATCTGGCTTGTTGGGTGAACTGAGGGCCACCCCACAGCGCAACTCCCAGTTTGTGGAATGTGGACAGATATGTACCTAGCGGTGACCATTTCACATATGTCTCTGTCCAACGCTGTAATCAGAGAAAAGTAGTAACAAACTTAACTCATTGCAGCTGCTACATAAAGAATTGCATAATGAAATTTCTGTTAACAAAATCTTTTCTACTCACGTTACGCTCTTCGAGTAGGGTGGGCTCCGGTGCCGAGTTTTGCCAGATTTGAACCGACACACCCGCTCCATTGCCGCAAAGAACACAGAACTGGTCGTAAGCGTCTGGCTCCAACAAATGATAGTGCAAGTCACTAGCAGCTTTGAAGGGCTGAGCCTTCGGTGGTTCCCAGTTCTCTGGGATATCCTCAAACTTCTTGAAATCCGTGAAAAGATTAACCTTGAACGTATGAGATTTGTCGATCTTGTAATTGTTGGTAGACTTGACTGCAGTGAGCGCGTTCAAGTGATTGTTATATTCCAGAAAAATGTATCTGTCAAAGAGAAAGGAAATATCTCAGAAGCTAATAAACATTCTGCAAGCTATCTCATTAGAGAAATAGCTTTATTTCTTTTCAAATTTAGGCAGGCTGTGGACTAACCCTTTAGTCTTGCCATCGGTCTCATTCATTGGATAGAACTGATTGACTATTGGGCCAAATTTTCCCAGTACTTTACTGATAACAGATTGAAGCTTCTCTAATTTGTCAGGCTCTACCCGAGGAACATTATCCACAACAATCACAGATTCCACTCCATCTGTTTCCGAAGGTTTCTGCTTCAAGATATCGCCGAGCAGCTCTGTAAATTTGTGATACAGATATGTATTCATTGTTACAAAAACTGCTCACTCTCCTAACAATAGATTATCTGTTTTACTTGCATTTTTTAGCATTTTCTCTGGAACGAGACAGACATATATTTGAGAAAATGCTTAACCCTAGACAGACTCACTGGGGTAATACGTTACCCCACGCGAAATTCAAATTCACATCATTTCAGCCAAATTTTTGGTTCTTTTATGTTTTGTTTTTCAAAATTTTTTTACTGTTTTTTTTTTACTACCACAAATTGATGACTACTATCGTCTTCCCTATTAAACAACAAACAAAATTATCTATTATAAAGTTTTCTAAGAACATTCTGGAAATATTATACACGCGGTACAAGTTTGGGGTAACGTATTACCCCAGTGAGTCATTCACGTATGAGAAAAATAAGTGATTCTGTCTAGGGTCAAAAATGACTTTAACCAAAAACTTTAATTAACAAACTGCAATTAATTTAACCAGTAAAATTCAAGCAAAATTTTTACACAACTCGTCATTTCAAATCTAATCTCTTCTTTTATGTTAAACGTTAAACAGTAGAGAAATTTATAATTCTACTTACATTTTTTAACAAGACAACTATTATTTGATAAATTAAATTACTAATCAAGTTAATCAGAGTTCGGTCAAGATGTCACGCTGAGTTATACAACTGTTGTGTTTCCTGAATGCATCCTATCGTTCGGCATTTTTTATAGTGAATTCAATTGGATGTACTCAGTGCGCACTGGTGCATATTAAAGCCGTTGTACACTGATTTAACCTCTAATCTTTAAAGTAAAATGCAAATATCTCAATCGATAAAATGTCTAATATATATTTTACCAAATAACACAATAAAGAACATTAAGGATTTCACGATTTAACTGTTTATATTAAACATACACCTTATGTTGATTTGTATACAGCTTTAATGTACCTATACCAGTGCACTGAGTGCATCCAATCAAATTCGCTATTAAAGATCAAAATTAGGTCTATTTTCTATTGGTAAACTGCACTAATTCAGAGTTTGTCTTTTTTCTTCCAATGTGGAGTAAAAAAAAAGCCTGTTCTTTTTAGCTTAACTTCTTGCACGGTTTATCTTTTCTCTTTTTCTTTTCACGTTGGAGAGAAAAAGAGAAAAGATGAACCGTGCAAGAAGTTTAGTTAAATAGAACAGGCCTAAAGATAAACTCTGAACTAGTATGTACAATCAGTTCAGCAATAGAAAACAGACCCATTGTGACTATCAAGCCGACATCGTGGCGACACATGGCGCGTCTAAAATTGAAATGAGGTGTACAGTAAGGGCCAAAGCACATATGACAGTCGTAGTCATAAGCGGGGAGCACACACTTCTGCATAACGCATAATGCGTAAGCATAAGAAAATTGATTGGTCTATTTTCTTATGCACATGTGTATGGACCAGTCAATTTTCTTATGCTTACGCATTATGCGTTATGTAAAAGTCTGTGTTTCCCGCTTTAAAGCGGGGAGCACACACTTCTGCCGCTTAAGCGGGGAGCACACACTTTTACATAACGCATAAGGCATAAACATAAGAAAATTGGTTGGTCTATTTCCTTATGCACATGTATATGGACCAATCAATTTTCTTATGCTTACGCATTATGTGTTGTGCAGAAGTGTGTGCTCCCCGTTTAAGTAACGCACAAGTTTTGGTGTATCCTGATCTGTCAGATCGGGGACTTTGAACGTCGTATATCGCTACGCAATGTTATGTGCTTTGGCTCTAAAGCCCCTTGCACAATGCCAGGCAACAGGCAATAGGAACAGG